CCTTGGCTCTTTATTGGTAGATCTCCAAGAGGCACCCACAGCTGAGACTGAGAAAGTAGTAGGTGATTAAACAGAAGGAGGCACTGTAGGAGTGTAGACATCAGAGAACCACAAGAACCAAGATCAACTAGAGCTATAAATCCTACTTATAAAATATAAACATGGAAGAGAAAAAAATGATTATAATCAATATAAATGGACTTAATTCATCAATTAAAAGAAGAAGAATATTTCACAAATTAAAAATATGAAATTGGACATAATTTGTCTACAAGAAGCGCATATTCAAAAACAACATGAACACTTATTGGTAAGTGTTCCAAAACTTGGGAAAATGTTTATTGCATTGGCAAGCTGTAAGAACAGAGGAGTGATCTTTTGTATTAAAGATAAAATTCCAGCGAAACAAATTTATACAGATGACGATGGAAGAATTCTGATGGTGGAAATTATGGACAACACTAAGAAAATACTTTTAATTTCAATTTATGCCCCCAATGATAAACAAGATGAATTCTATAGAAAACTACACAGGAAAATAATTTTAATGGAATTGTAGATCAGAACATGGACTATAAAGCACAAAAAACAACAAAGCTAAATAGAAAACCACTCCCAAAATCCTTTTTCAAGACGATAGATGAAATAAACTTAATGTCTGGAGAGAAAGAAATTAATTTTCTAGCAGTAATCTTGTGTCGGCGTGACTCACCGTACAGAGGGGGGGGGGTGTCAGAACAATAGACTATACAAGAAAGAGGAACATAAAGAAAAGACAAACTTTTAAAAGTTTAGAGAATGACTATAAGGCTCTTGAAAAAGTTACAGAAATCCCCACAAAAAAAAGACATTAAAATTAAAATGGACATAAATAAGCACAAAATGGAGCTATTGAAAAAGGAGGAATTGGCACAAAAAAGTAGAGGTGCTAAACAGAACTACTTTGAAAATGCAAACAAACCAGGTAGATGGTTGGCATATAAATTGAAAAAAGAGAGAGAATCAAAGAAAATACTGCAATTAAGAGATGATCAAGGGCAAATTCAGTATGGAAATGCTGAGAAGAAGAAAATTATACAAAACTACTATGATAAGCTGTATGAACAAGAGAATATAGAAGAGGGAGGAATTAAACAATATCTACAGGAAGCCAATCTTCCTCAGATGCTTAAAGAAACTGAAACAATATTAGAAGGCAAAATAACTATGATGGAGCTAACTGAAGCACTTAAGAAATAAAATAACGGAAAGGCCCCAGGCCTGGATGGCTTACCAGTAGAATTTTACAAGACATTTCAGGAATCATTGTCCCTTCCACTATTAGAAGTTATGAATGAGGTGATCTCCGAGACCAAGATATCCAAATCATGGTTAGAAGCATATATTACACTTCTGCCACAAGAGGAGTCTGATCTAACACAAATCAAGAACTACAGACCCATCTCCTTGTTAAATTCAGATTATAATCTATTTGCTTCAATATTAGCAGAACGACCTAAAAAATGTCTAAACAGTTTTATCCACACTGATCAAAATGGGTTTTTACCAAAGAGACAAATTAAAGATAATATGAGAATAATTTTGGACACTTTGGAGTACTATTCAGGCGCACCCCGAAAAACAAGTGGCTTTGAAGTTCTTAGANAAAGGCAGAGTGTAAGAGACAAAGACTGAGAGTGGGAAACAAGTATCACTGCCACCTAGTGGATTTGAAACAATGTTTTTATTTTTGCATGAATGCTTGGAGAGAAGCTGTTTTTTTCCTCAAGGTTATCTTGTTAAGGCTTGATAGTGAGAGGAACACAGTTGTTTATACAGGTGTCCCTTGTGAAACTTTCAATGTCTGGAAACCTACCTTGAAAGAATAAATAAAATTTTTAAGGGAAAGCCCAGAGTGACCTTGGAAAGGCTTTTTCTATTTATAACTTTTGCATTTTCATATTTTTATATTTTTATTTGGGAATTGTTCTCTTCTCATATTTTTTTTGTTCCCTCTTTAATTTTTTTTACTTTCTCTTTTCCCCCCTTTTTAATGGGAATCAATTGGATAAGGGCATACAAGAGACCAAATATTTTTACCCTTTTGGTTTTTTATATTACTGTATATTTTCCTCTTTTATTTTTGTGGCTCTTCTGTTGCCCCCTAACCCTTGTTTAGTGTTTTAGTTCTTATTTCTTGACCTCTCCATGGTCACGTGGGACCACAATTTCATCTTACATTAGGTGGATTAAAACACACAAAAGAAAAAATTTGGAAGATGAGTAAAAACATAACAACTGTTGGCTCTGCAACAACAACTCCCTCCTCTTCACCTGCGGGAGGAAAAAGATCAATACAGATGATGCTCCAACAGGAAAAAGATAAGGGAGTAACATTAGAGGCAATCATGCAAGGAATACAAAAATTACAAGTAAGAGCAGAGAGCATTGAAAAAAAATCAGAAACCATTGAAAAGAGAACAGAGAATATGGAAAAGATAATTGAGACGATAGAACAACGAACAGAAAACAGAACAAAAGACAGGTAAAACAGAGGAAAAAATCAAAAACAATCAACAATGGATGATGAAATATGAGGATAGACTACAAAAATTGAAGAAAGAGATGAACAAAGAGAGAAGAAAGTTGAGGACATTGATAGTAGATTGAGTATTGTGGAAAAGGATAAAAGCGGAATATTAGATGGGAGATGGATCGGTCAGAATTTTTCTTAAGATTTCAAAACATAGAAGAAGAAAAAGGAGAGAACTTGGTACAAATAATGTCAGAAATTCTGACAGATGTGTTAGAGATATCCCAAGAGAAGATGATAGACTGTATAGACGAGGAGTTTCAAGTTTACACAAGATATGCAGCGAGAAATGCTCTCCCAAAGGAAGTTCATGTAAGATTTACCAAGAAAACAATTAAGTCACAAATACTACAGAAAACAAGAGATAGAATATTGGAATATAAAGGCAAGGAGATTGTAGTTCTGAAACAAATTCCAAGAAGAGTGAGAGAGACGAGAAGAGAATATCAATTCCTGACTAAGATTTTACTCAAAAAAGGTGTCAATTATAGATGGCTTATACCGGAAGGTTTAATATTTGCGTGGCAAGGACGAAGATACAGAATAGATACAACCTAAAAAGCTGAAGCATTCTTCATAGAGCACCTCAGAGGGAAGGCTGAGAAGGCTGGAAAAGAAGAATTATTGGTAGAACTCTAAGAGGCATCCACAGACAAGACTGAGAAAGTAGAAGGTGCTATAGGCAGGATTGAAACAGAAGAAGGTGCTGTAGGTGGTGTTGATATTAGAGAACTACGAGAACCGAGATCAACTAGAGCTATAAATCCTACTTGTAAAATATAAACATGGAAGAGAAAAAATGATTACAATCAATATAAATGGACTTAACTCAGCAATTAAAAGAAGAATATTTCACAAATTAGAAAAATTAAAATTGGATAAAATCTGTCTACAAGAAGTGCATATTCAAAAACAGCATGAATACTTATTGGTGCAGCAAAACTTGGGAAAATATTTACCGCATTGGAAATCTGTAAGAAAAGAGGAGTGATATTTTACATTAAAGACACAATTCCAGCACCATCACAAGATCCCAGTCAGGATTGAATTCCCTACTGGGAAGGATAAAAGACACAGAAGTTCATGCCGTGTGCTAAAAATATTGCATTGGCTGAGATTCAGAACCTTATCCTATGGTGGCTCTCATTTACTTTCCCATTGGTCACTTCCTACTTTTGTTGTAGTAGCCTCTACATGTTTCCAAGGAAACTTCATAATTTCTGCTTGTTTATCCTTTTCTTTGAAGTTGGTGATGATGGGAGCAAAATGTGGAAGTACTGCAGAGAGAAATAAGGCCGAATAAGTACTCCAGATGGAAATAAGGCGAAATAAGGCTCCACCTCCATCTTCATTGGTCATGGTGTCCAGAGCAGAAGATGCACAGGTATTTCTGCCAAGGAACTGTGTCCTAAATTAGCACTCCAGATGTAAATAAGTTGAGCAAACACATACATTAAAAATATAGTGATTAGTGATTAGATAATATCAGTATATTTTTAGCAGGTAATGTTATTTCCAGCGAGAAAGCAAAAAACTAGCATATCAATATTATTGTCATACTATAGTTCAAGGCAATTACCTCCCTGTGACCAATTAGATCACATAGATTAGGCCTCCTCCGAGTTCCATCTNAAAATATACATAAAAAAAAAAGAACCTTGGCAGCAATTCAGACTTCGACAGAGACAGATAACAGCTTCTTCAGCATTAAGAATGAAGTTGAATCCTGCAAACCAGACTCCTCCCAGAGTCTCTCCTTAAATACAATCTTGAGAGGAGCCTAATTACAACCACCTGGGTCCAATTATCTTTTGTAACTGTGTAGCTGTTCTCTCTGTTGATCTGCCTGGCGTTGCCGGGCATTCAGAACCATCTCCCTTTCTCCTCATCACCACTCTAAAGCCTGATGTCAGGAGCACACTCCCTTAGGCTCTCACCCCTGCTCCATGCCTCAGGGGCCTCCTGGTGGCCAACCAGCCTCTCTGCGCCCTGCTCGGAGTCAGAACCCTGTTCAGAGTCCTCCACCTCTTCCAGAGCCGACTTCATAAGGCCCCTCGCTGGCGGAGTCTGTTTGCAGCTCCAACGGCTCCTGCTGGGCCACAACAGAACCTATGATAGCTTGTGGTAAAAATTTTGGACATGGAATTGAACTAGAGAAGTGGGAAAAATTGAGGTCCCAAAATTATAAAATGACAATGTCAATAGCTTATAAGGAAAATTTGTATAAGATGTTTTACAGGTGGCATCTACCCCCAAAGAGAATAGCAAGAATGTTCAAAAACAAATTGAAAAAGTGTTGGAAATGTCATCAGACACCGGGATTATACTACCACATATGGTGGACTTGCACAGAAGTTGAAAGGTATTGGACTAAAATCCACATGTGGTTGGAAAAAATGACACAGAAACATATAGACTTTAAACCAGAGGGTATTATACCAGATACATACAATAAAGACTTGAAATACTTGATCGTAAATATTTTGACGGCAGCCAGAATTGTATTTGCAAAATATTGGAAAAATGAGAAAATACCAGTGCAGGAGGAAGTTATTCGAAAAACAATGGAATGTGCTGAAATCAGTACGTTGACATTTGAAATCAGAGAACAAGAAGATGAACAATTTTTTAAGATTTGGGATTTGTTTTATCAATGGATACAATTACCACAATCTTGAATTGTAATAATAGAATGTGATATGAGATATTATAAAGACATATTACTTTTATATAGATATAATGGAATATTGGTATATATGAATTGAATATACAGATTCTATAGATTTATAACAAAGTAATGGAATATTGGTATATATATGAATTGAATATTTAGAATATCTTGTTTAAAATGAAGAAGTAATAATTGTAGTTGATTATATGAGATACAATGATAAAGATGTATTTATATATATTTGATATATTTCATAATTTTACAATATAATTGAAAGTAATGATATATAAATAATCATTTTTTTGTTTTTTGTTTTTATATATACTGCAAGGAATATTAAAATAAGATTGATGATACCATAAAGATATGTTATTACTTAATAGATTTATAATGATGTAACAGATAGCATATATATGAATTTAATCTTTAGAATACCTGTTTAAAAGGAATAAATTATAAGAGTAAATTGAATATATGATTTACAATGATAATCAATGTAATTAACGTATAGTGGGTTGATAATTACTGATTTTATATGCAATTGAAAGCGGTGATGCACAAATGTTTGTGACCAAATGACATGCTAAATAGATTTGTAATTGATGGTATATTTTTATGTATGTTTTTGTTTGTTTTAAAATTTAAAAAAAGAATCCACCTGAATAGAAAAGGAAGCTGAATGAATAAGGGGAAAAGGTGGAAAAATTCAAAGAAAGTGAGAAGGCAAGGTTGATTAGCATAGCAAGGAGACTCAGAGATATGTTTGGAATAATTGACATGTGGAAACTGTCTCAGAACAGAGAAACGAGTGTTTGATTTGACCCTGGATACTTTTTAATTCTGGACCTTTGGTAAACGCTTCAGGACAAAACATGGTTCTCTTGTTATAAGAATAGAACAATAGGAAAGTATGACAATAGGAAAATGTTTAAGGATTCCCATTTAGACACATGCAAAGTTTCTTTTAAAGGGTGCAGAATCCTGAAAAAAATAATGTATGCCAATACTATAATGTTCTGGTTCAGCCACTTTTAAGGACATTTCTATGTAACTTAAGCAATTGCACAATGAACATTTTTTGAAATGACAGCTGTTCATGGTCCTGATTCTCAATGTGAATAAAAAATAGAATTTTTATGTATTTCTACAGGAGTGATTTCCCAATTGTGTCATACCCACTTGAATTTTTATAAGGCAAGAAGAAAAATCCAACTTACCAGTCTAATTAATGCATAGTAGAAACGAGAAATTTAAAATTCATTGAAAACTACATGTAGTAGTAGGGAAGATTGGGCAGCTTTTTATAATACTAAAGCTTAATTATTAGGAATGAATCATTTTCATGAAGAAGTGGTATTTTAAACTAGATTTGAAAAATGATTTATTCCATATAACATACAGTTGCTTTTATTTTACTAATCACAACAACCT